TAGAGAGCTTCTCAAGCAGCCTGTCACCCTTTACCTCCCATGAGTGACCAAGACAGAATTTCTCCCAACAAAATTTATACAATATCCAGCAGACAAGTGATGAGAATAGAGAAAAATATCAATTGGGGGATTACAAGTTGATCTAATACCTAATTCTCCAAGCCAAAAGCACAAGAATTATATGGTAGACAGTAAAGAGAATTACCAATGAGATATTGAGAGTGAAAGAAGACCTTGAATCTTTAAACAGTGAACATCAGTAGGTTTATCTTTGATCTCTAAACCCTTCCCAGCCTAATATCAGTATTGATATTCTCCTTGCTGTACTCCATACATTTCATTTAGAATTGACCAGGAGAATTTGTTTAACATTCAAGAGCACCTTTAAACAATCATTCTTTCTATTGTCGTGACCTTAATGTTTGATTCAATGGTGAGACTACATTGAGAAATTAAATGCCAGTCACTTTAAATTAGCAGTTAAAAAAAGTAAAACATGATAGGTAGTATTAAATTCTTTATAATAGTCTTTTGAGTGGCAGAGACAAAAATCTCTTGAGGACCTGTTCTGCAGCATACTCTGAGGTTCTCCATTATAGTTTTTAGCTGTTAAAAAGTTAAAAAAGAAAGTGCTCACTTAAAGGTAAAAAAAAAAAAGAAAACATTTCTGAACAAGCTGAAAATCAACATATCATTTTACATTTTATCACAAGTAAAAAAATTCAAACTTGATAGAGAAACAAGATTTCACATATTTTGCAAAGTTAATAATTATCATATCGATAGTTTTACAACTAAATTGAAAAAATCATTCACTAAGAAGCTTAAGGAGTATTGCATTTTAAGTCATTGAATAGACATATGCTGTACATGTCAGTGCCTCATTACAAAAGAAGAGATACCAGAGGCATATGTTTTCATTGATTAATGCTTTACATGTCAACATCAGTATGCATATTCTCCATACAGTTCTCTATATATTTCCTAAGGTGTTGACAAGGAGAATTTGTTTAACAATCAAGAGCCTCTTCTGTTGGTGATCATTTCTGATATTCTCTTGATCTTAATGGGTGATTCAGGAGAAATATTGTAAAGAGAATTGGATGTTAGTCACTCGCAGGGGTTTAAAGGTTAAAATGTATTTCATAATTCTCAGAAAAGGTGTCAGGATGTAGATGAATCAATATTTTATACCTGCAGCCATATTCACTCATCTGAAAATGAAAATCTAATGGTTTTTAATCATTAATGAAGACTTGACAATTGACAGCTGACTAAAAGCAAAATTTCATAATTTCTACACCAAATGCAATTTTTAGCACTTTAAAAATTCTTCCACGTCACTCACTGTACCCATTTCACATTACATACCATAAGAAAATTTATCTTCTTTAACATATCATCATTTAGTTAAATTTATTATCAACATTTTTCATTAAATGTCTTCTTGAGGATCATAACAACTATTTTAAGCAAACACTTCCTAAAATGGAAAAAAATCCTTTATACACTAAATTAAATCATAACCACTGGTATGAAATATATTTCTTTCCAGCAGTTTAATCTTAATAAAAGTTTTGCATGAGGATTTTTCTAAAGTTTTTTCAAAATAATCAAGATTTTATAATAGCCCAACAAGGTGCAGAAATTTATATTTTTGCACTTAAAAGCAAGAAAAAAATTCCACCTGATATGTAGACAATCATGTAACATTCTACTCTATACATTGCCCTGATTCTACATCCACACATATTTATTGCCTGATCAACTCAGCAAAAGAGAAGTTACACGTAATTTTTCATAGATGCTAGAATTTTCATTATTATTGTATGGTATTTTGGCTATTACCATTCTCAAAAATTCCTTTCCACTCAAAACAACAATCTTTATTCAAGACTTTTTCTTCCAATGATTATTACCTACCATAAATCGTTTCCCCTAAAATGGGTTCAAAGAGATAGAACAAGAGAGCAGCACTTTGACCATAATTGAGAACAAAATTACATATAACTTGTATAAATATTCATCACAAAAAATTATGATTATACTGACAATCCTTAAGTTTCACACTGAACTTATAAATTTTCAATTTTGGGTTTTTTGTAAACAAGATGGTCGTAATTTTTTCCTTTCTTCAACAGAAATCGAAGCTAAGCTATCATCCCTATTTCTAAAAAGTGGATATTACAAAAAAATGTGTATTGAAGGTGCAAAATTATAATTTCATGACTAAGTCAATTTGTGGGTTTTGAACACCTGCCTTCAGAAAATAAAAGAAACACATTACAAATACGAGGAATATGCAGATAAAGTGAGATAGCTGACTACCACGATAAACAGAACTCATATCGCCAAGAAAAGTTGGCCAGAGGGCAGATTCTCCTCTAAGTGTCAAATCGGATGAAACATCAAATTGAATTCTTTCCATGCCACGATTCACCAAAGAAAAAGAGAAAAAGCAATCAAAACAACATTTTAGAGAGAAACGTTTTCACAGTTGGGTCTCGGTATGGAAGACACCGCAAACAACAAGAAAGCGATCCTTATCTGGATGTATCACAAATAAAACACGATGTTGACAGTTCGCGGTCAAAATTTGTTCAAAGAAAAACTTTGACGCGCGGGGAAATGCAAACTCAGAACTAGAGGCGTTTCACGAAGGTCAGAAATGAACAACTGCTTCCCATTCTCATGTTGATTTTGTATTAGAACGCACTAGAATGTCAGAACAAACTGAAAGCCACGCAAACATGAAAATATTTCCCTAATAAAATTCCTTGATGAACAAACGTTCAGAGCCTGTCCAAACTGATCCATTTTCAAAATATTTATCCACGTATCAACAGGATAGTCGATTACGTGCTAGATTCCAAACAAATAAAAATTTTCTTGTTCTATGCAATTAACAACTTGCTAATTCGAACGCGATATCACGTCTTACTATTTTTATCACGCCATGGATTTCCCTTCCTTTCCGAGAGCACGCCAATGAGTACAAAGGGATAAATAAAACATTATGGTGCCAAATGATAAACATCCCACTATTTTCAGACTTTATTTTGACCAACTAGCTTTCGAACGTTGCTGATCTTAAATGTTTCTTTCTTTTTAGCCTTTTCCAGAAGGCACTAACTAATAAGCAAGCTTGATCTCCATTAGAATAATAAATGACATCATTCATATCTCGAGAGTCGCGCCGCTACATTATAACTATTATCGCCCTGCACAATATTTGGTTTCTTTTAACAAAGAAACGAGTTAAATCCAAAAATATTTACCATATTCAAAAAAGAGATTCGCACCATCATTAAGGCAAAATTAATTTACACATCTTTGCGACTGTTTTGAAGATCTTCCAAGACTACCTCTGGAACACTGATCAAAACAAAATTCAAATTACGCGCGCGTAAATTTAAGAATCAGTGTATTGAAAAAATTGTTTGCATACTACTCACCGACAACGGACAGTTTGACTTCGTCACTTTCGGTTTTTCCATGATTTCCATATCTTATTTGACAAAAGAAAGTCCTAGAGTCTTCCATTTCAAGATTCCTAATCTTAAAACTCGCTCGCTTGCCAGGGACGATCTCAACTCTGTCTCGAACCCATTCAACATCCTTGTGTAGGTTGTTCTGTTTAGTTCCGTTGTCGGTCTTAACCAGAATGGCTACATTTTTATTTTCGATAACAACTCCGAATTGGATATCTTGAACGTCTTCCTTAACATATTCCCAATCAAACTGTACATCCTTTCCGACAAATACCTCCTTATCTTTCGGTTTCGTAGAAAAGGTACCCGTGTCTTGACTCGTCGCATACGCTAGTTAATAACCAAAAGTAAAAACAAAGCAAATTCAGTCACAATCCTTCGAAGTTCTGACCGATAATTCATCGATTGACTTACCAAATAACGTAACAAACAGGCCAATTGCCTTGATTTGAGAGCAGACAAAGAAATTCATTGCACGACTTCCCCATGCACAGCACGCTTTGAACAACACACGTTAACGGCCAACGGTCAAGCAAATTTCGCTGTGCTTTTTACTCTCAAAATGAATACCAAAGAGCACGCTAATTTCGAAGCACAAAGATGAGTTTGTTATAGACAGATGCACGAAAAGGCAGATTCCAAAACATGGTCATCAGATAATGTCGATCACACTTCCTTCATGAGAGATTTCTGTTTGTCTTCTTCAAACATATGACTCGTGGCTTGCTATTTATATAGCGCAGATCACGTGGTTTTTCAACCGCAATTGCGACGCGTTTTTCTGCGTCCTGAGGTAGGAGACATTCGATATTCCTTTTCGAACGCACCGCAATCCTGGTGAGTTTGCCCTTTGGAAAATGCCGATCGAAGCAAAAGACAAAGAAAGAAGATTAATTTAAGAACATAATATCATTCTCTTTCTAGAGAACGCTAGGCTTCATTTTAAGTAATATCAACAAAGGGAACAAAATACTTCAGTTTATCAAGGAAAAAGTCACATTCTTAAAACAGCGTTAAGTCTTAAACCTCTTTAAGAGGTGCGAATAGGGTTTACCACAATATGAACTTCTGAATTTTTAAGAGAGAAAATGAAGGTTTTGAATTAATTTTCGGCAGGCAAACAGGATTTGTGTGTTAATATTCATATCCTTCCAAAAAAATGTCTATAATGTTATAGCTTGGGCGTAACACAAGCAAATACCGCTTAATGAATAGTCACTAAGTTTTATTATGACAGTGTTTTTGTTCCTTTGAAACCATATAGTTTATGTTTAGAAGAGGTTTTAGCTCAAGAAAAAAGAAAAATTTTTATTCACAAGAGATTATATTTGTGGGGTGGCCTTTGAAGAACATGTTTGCATGCACTAAGTTTTCACTAAGAACATTTTACAATTATTGTAAGCTCTGTAAGTGATCAAGGTCTCGATATCCATTAATTTCAACGTTGTGTTATCCGATTTATCATATCACGCAAGTAATAATTCAAACACAAGTTGGGATGAAATTCAGGAAACGTATGATGCATGCAGTCTAAAAATTCCAAACTCCAAATAATTTGTGAAGTCAAAGAAACTATGTTGAATTGTGAGGAATTCGTGGCCTTTTTCCTAAAAGGTAATCGTGTGCAGTGTTTATTGGCTAGAATATCTCCGATTATAAAACAAATAGTCATTATTTTAGTTTATTAAGATTAAATTTTACATTCTACTGGCTTGGATTAAATAAAAAGAGTTAGTCGCCGATATGTCTATCTTTTCTTGCGGTGATATGTCATGAAAAAGCCATTTGCGCAAACGATTCTGAAAGAATATTGAACTTAATATTCTAGGCAAAATAAACATGCGGAAAAGCCATAACAATCTGTGTGTCTCATTGTATAAAAAGCTAAGTAAGAATAACCATATTTATGGAATTGTAACTGAATCGTTTGACCAATTCACTCCGGCGGCTGATATAAAATATGCTTAAAAAGCTTAAGTCGCAAAGATTCAGAGACACAAGAACAGTATGACAGCTTTCCCACTAGCAAAAAACGGCTGAAAACGAACAAGATGACTTGCTTTATCAAGGAAAAAGTATATTTGTCTCCAACTGATTTCTGTGTCAGATGTCAGCGGAGGGCTTCCCTATCCTAAGATCTTTTTGATTGATTTGCTGGTAAAGTTTCACACTGAGAAAAACCGTTTGTAGTCTGCTTACCAATAAGTACTTCCCATGAATATGGCTTGACTCAGTCAGTGATGCGGGCATAAGCTTGTCACAATTTTTTGACGTACGTTTTGCAGTAGAACAATTGGAGCCTTCCTTATCTGACAATAACCTCTCCAGCAAAACTACGGTTTCCGAAACGAAACCAATCATGATTGCTCGCTTACTGCACAGTTGTTTTATGAAAAAACGCAAGCAATTTCGTTTGAAAACATAAAACTGCTGATATAAGACATATGCCACCCGTAGTTACTTACGATATCAAATAACGTGTGCATCTTTGGCAGAAAAGCAGGAACGGGCAGAAATTATTGTGTGAGATCAAATGAAAGATGAGGAAATTGGTTGACGAAAATGCAGTGTTTTTTTCAGATTTACAGAGTGAAAGTATTGATCCATGCAGCCATTTACATCAGCAAAATTTTTACACCTTAGATTTTTAGATATCTCATCTTATCATGATAACCCACGCTATAGTGAACAATTTCAAACGCCTGGGTTGCGATTAAGTATTAACGATTCTTATGTCAAACATATCTGAATCACCTCAAGAACTAGCTTGCCTACAGACTTATTGCATTGAAGAAAGGATCAAGAATCTATTGAGCTTGTTCTCGCGTTTGACTCCTCTTGCTCCTTTTCTCATCAGTGACTGACTGAAATCAAGACTTATCGTGCACCCTATGATTTCTGTTCTGATCCGTCTATGAAATGGAGCTAAACGCAAAGTTTTGCGGCTATTCTGTAATAGGAAGGAGCTAAACAAAGATTCAAAGGTTATGGGAATGAAAAATAGTTTGGAGATTTTTGCTGACGGGTTTTGGACAGAGTTCATTTCATCGGCTATTCAATTTCGTGGTCAATTTATCAAATTATTCCTTATAAAGTCAATTATGGAAAAATCTTATCAGTTTTAAGAAAGAGAGTACCTCTGAATAACGTTTCTTTGCGGAATAAAATCAACTGAAAGGGAAAAAATCTAAGGACGTGTATGAAAAGATAAAAACTGAAAAGAAAAAACTTTATGAATAATATACATGTTTCATTTTCGAACAGGTGAGAGAGCATTTGCATCGTAGCAGCGCGCGGGGATTCTAAATCAAAGTGCGGGTTATTGCGAAATTGTTTTAAAATAAATAATTTGACCAATTTTGTCGGTAAATACATATTGCGGAACTATAGCTTTTTAGGAGTTTGTCTTAAATTGTTGTTAATATAAATAAAATTGCCAATTTAGTCTAAATTTAAATCAATTTTATTAACTTTGAAATTTCAACCCTTTCCAAAGGCCGAAGAAAACCCACGGTGATTTTTTAGTGGTTGTTGCGATAATCTCTTGCTAATCCCTTTTATCTCGTTATTAGCGCATATGCTCATTCAGATTTCCCACGATAGTACACGCGCACAGGTGTATGGAGCCAGAGGAACAAATTCTCGACTGGTAGAAAACCGCTAGTACGTTGAAAAAGATCTGCTCAGCGATAAAATTAATCTATTGCGGTTGTGGAGGGATATTTCAGGATCAACCATGCTTTAGCTTCCGGAGATAGCAGATATTATTCCGCAGTTAAAAATGGAAATTTGGCCAGCTGTAAAAGATTTTCGAATCCTTATGTTCTAGTTTGCCTCAAGCTTCGTTCACTCATCTTCCTTCCATTTTTTGGTTATTCATTCAATTTTTTCCCCTGTTGCACTGGATTCACATCCTTGAAAGATGCTGTGACCTTGCGCGCGCCGTGTCAAAATCGAACAATTAACCCACCCCTCCCCCCTGTCTATCCTTAGGGGTACAAATGGGAACAAAATATGGTTAGAGAAATCTAACCTAATACACGGGGTAACCTTCATGCAATGGAACAGCATCGTCTGCAGCGCAGCGTCTGTCTCGAGGGATGCTCGGCCCATAACCTGATCTTACTATACACACGCCCTAGGGAGTGGGGTGCGTATTACAGCCAAAGTACTTTATGGGTGGGATTTTCTGACCCGAGCTGCCTGACCCTACCCTTTTGAAAACAATTTTGTACTCCTGTTATACTCCTGTTATAAGCATAGAATGAAAACGCCACATGCATCCTTTCCCTACTCTAAAGGAAGGCAAAATGACGGTTAAACCACTGTAGGTCATCTCTAACTTCTTTCAAACTTACATTAACGGGCTGTTAGGCCTTTAAAGAAAAGCTAATGATAAATTTGGGCACCCCCCGCCCCTTTCTGCACCACACCTAAACGCTGTAAATTTCTACGCTCTTGTTACACACCCCTGGATTGAGAAATGTTCCCCTTGTCCAATTTGGAGAGAGAATCATCCCTACCTAATCAAGAGAAGATCTGATAATTATATTCTCTTGATATTATTCATCTAGGAAATCCTTCCCACTTCCACCAGCTACTCATACCCACTAGTGCCAAGATATTTGCACTCTATGGCCAACTCAGTATATTCCATTACATCTTACACCATAAATGATAAAGTTGTGATTTTTGTAAATCCAGAATTTTTACATAATAAAACAATGGATAGCAATGAAAGAGCGCTCTCCTTGGCTACTCCCAAACTCCGAATATCCTTTGCTATTCATCTCCAAGAGACTCTCGCGGGATGCGCACCCGTAAATCTTGTAATCGTTGCAGGAATAAACGATTAGTTTGAAATCATGTTTTTGGTGTTGTATTGTCTCACTATTTTATGGTATGTTAAGAAAAACTATTCACCTCAATGAAGGTGGCTAGCGGCAGTGAATATTTACGTCGTCGCCTCGCGCCTCGCGCCTCGGTATTGGAGTACAAGAGAATATGAACAGTGTATTATCTCTTGTGGGGACATCAATCATAATTACAGCCATGAAACCATTTTTAAAATTTCTACACTTGTCCAGTATCTAAAAGAGACATCTTTAAGGGTGGAATCGTTTGAGGATGCCGTGGACCTGTGATTTTGTCCAAATCCAATGGAAAATTTGTATAATTTGTTGTGAAAAGATGGAGCGACTTATGCAACAACCAAAGATGCCGAAACATGCTTTCCTCGTAGAGTGATATGACAAAGGGAACTTCACCATTCATGGTTTATGGCATCTGCTATCAGATCTATTTACACTTAACCCTTTACACCCCAACACTAATATCCAAATTCTCCACACTCTTCTATGCATTTCCTTTGGTACTGACAAGGAGAATCTTTTTAGGTTGGTGACCATTTCCCTTATTCTCATGATCTTCATAAATAATTCAGCAGTATTATTGTGAGGAGAAATTACACGCTGGTCACTCTCAGGGTTAAACAGCTCAATGTCCCGTGACTGAAGTGATGTTAAGACACGAGAATCATGTGAGGCGTATCCCGGTGTTTTGAGCACATCCCCATCACCGCCATCATTACATTTCTCTGGCAAAGTTGCCATGGCTGTCTTTTCTAAACCTTTCCTTTCTGTTCGACTGAGGTGATGTATATTAAACAGACAGAACGCTAAGGAGTACTAGCCGAACAAGTTGTCTGATCTTACAGGTGTTGTCCCAGAAAGGACTGTTGTCAACGTCATGGACAATAGCTAATGTTTCGATAACTTGTTCGGAAGTCATTAACATCAGAGTAGAGCGCAAAGTTGTCTATGAGTGAAATGTTTACACAAAACCATACACTAGACCTCCAATAGCATAACAACCGCGTGGTTTTTATTAAGGTGTTATGGGTATTAATTTTTCTCGATCGAAAGCCACAATCAACCCACTACGCTTGGATTTACGGCAACTTTGACCAGTCTACCTGGACGCCATTCGTGCAAGAAGATGAAGGAAAACAAACAGAAGGCAAGAAGAGGAATGAGTTGTCGAGAACTAACAAGGGACGACACCAGCTCATTACAAGCGTCAAGCTGCCGGAAAAGCTCATAATTAGAGGTTAAACTCTTTAGTTAAAATCTTTGTGGCTGAACTATCAACAGGGTTTCAACTGAAACTTTTTCCATTGCGGCTTCTGATGGTGTAACAGGAAGTTGTGCTCGGATAGGAAGTTGTGAGACGAAACATAAACACGGGAGCACCGTCTCAGGCTAAACTGCAGACGGTGGTAAGAAGTCTTAGGTGGCGGTCGACTGCCGGTAAACGGCTTTTAATGAAACTCCTGCTATCGACACAGAAATCTTCAGTGAATGCGAGCAAGAAAAATGGTGTCGACAAGATAAAAGCTTCGAGGATAAACTGAGAACATTGCGGGGCACGTGGATGAAGATCAACCTTTTATTTGTTCGGACACATTTTAATTAACTGAGCAGTTTTTTCCAATAGTTCTTGCTGCAGAAAATAAAATCTGAGCATTCATCTCCATCAGACGTACAAGTAGAAATCAACGTATGTTCAGTGTTGAAATTCCTTAACGGTAAGTTCTTTAAACATGATTAGCTTGACGGATTATGACTTTGTAGCGAGCTTGAGAGATTGAAAGGGGAAGGGTTTGGTGGGGCTGGGGGTCGGGGTTGGGCTGGGGGTAGGGGTGAACGAACGTCCTGTTGGTAATGGATGAGAAAACATTCCCAAGTTCACGTGGTTGTCGGTGTGCCATTTACACCGGTGCTTTATGAGTAGTTTTCAAACATGTCCACAATACCACTAACAGTAAAGTATAGTAGTGTATACTCGGTTAAAAGAGGTGCGTATGAGAAACGACCAAACCACTTTGTACGAGGCACCATTTTTTCTACGTGAGATTTTAGTTCATGATATGATTCAAATTTTGATATTGGTACCGATGTTTCCGGATAAGGGACTGCATTTGATTAGCGTTAGAGACAATTTTTGGTAGCTTTCTAACTACGCGAACAACATGCGGCTCAAAAGAGCAGGTTGCTCTCGGATTGGTTATACGTAAAGCATAGATCTGTTGTAACAGAAAAAAAAGACACTTGGCAAAGATGAAGTCATCCTCATTGAAAAATCAAGTAAAATGTGAAATATGTAATGACTGCATTATTTTCGGACAACCAATTTCAAGAAGTCGTAAACGTGAATTTGGCTTTGATTCATACAACGGGTTCTACTGAAGAAGAGGCACCGAAGAGTTACTCGATCGAGCCTGTAAGACAGCTAACATGGAAGGCAGAATAAAGATGTAGTAGAGAAAGTAAAACAGGGGTTGAAAAGCAGGTAATGGAAGCTGCTATGGTATCCTGTGGGGGGGTGGGACCCAGGAAAATTCATTTTAACCGTACATCGTATAAAGAGGGGTGAGCCGCTGAGGCCACGCTCTTTTAATTCCCAACTCAACACCCTCCGGATTCAGCATTTCTGATGCAAATGACTGAGATCTTAGGACGTTGAGAGCTAGGAGCCAAAGTCACCGCAAAAGAGTAAAGGCTAGTACAAAACGACCCAGTTTAGCTTTAAGGCTGCTTAAAATTGGGTTCTGAATTGACAATAACAAGGCCAGAACACAACACCAAGAATTATGTTCCCTACTCTATGTGAGAAGTGCATAGGTTCTTTGAACGTAGACTGCTAACTAGTACAGAGAAGATGCAGGAGACTGGGCCTTTGGTTTATCGTCCTTGTCCGAAAGACTAAATCGTCTAACCATTTGCGGATGTCGTAGCAAAGACGGCACATCTGCTCAGTTATTTAAGGACCCTGAGTTTTGGACCGGTCTGGGCTTGAATCTCCGACATCACGCACGGCAGTCCGGCGCTCTACAACATGGGATAACCAAGCGCGATTTAATTGACATTTCCCAAAGCCTCGACCAGGAGCCTCCAACTCTGTACCATTATTTTTCTCATGGCGATACTTAATTCATGCAAAAAAGAAAAATGCAAAATAAAATTTACAGTATAAAATCGTTATTAATTGCAGATACTACCTTAGAGCAGGCGCTAGGTGAAGTAATAGCAGAAGACATACCAATGAACAAAAGCTTAATGGTGTAGAGATAAATTCTATGCCAAAAATTGTGAAAATCCGATTAGCCAACTGGTCAGTGATCTGTCATGATCGTTGCACAAATTCATGTCGGAACAGATGAAAAGTGTTAAGTAAAACGTTAATAAGATAAGTGGTCTGGCGAAGTGGCTTAAGCTTTACTAATAAGTACGTTATCATAGAAAAGATTATCATTGCACTGTAAATGAAAAGTTCATGACAGATTTGCCCACACTCTAAACCTAAAACAATCAAGTGATTTTCTGGCTTCGATGCTGCACATGCAAACTTGCGTGAGATTAAAAGATCATCTCGTCTTTGGGGCAAAATAGGGCAATATGTGTACACTTGAAAAGTTTTTAGTTCACTTGGAACTGAAGTGAACTTGGGAAGTTTATTGCATACCAGCGGCGACTCTGGGTCTGTTTAAAAATGATCAGAATCTAACAAAGGTTTTAAGTTGATCGGCTTAGATACGAAAACCTCCGCTAAGAAGGTAGCGTATTATGAAATTTTTGATACTTTAAGTTGCGATCAAATGTACTGGTTTGACCGGATGGGGCGCTTTTCAAGGTAAAATTTTATAAGCGGTTTCCGGCTTGCATTTCGTTGGTATGTTTGTATATATTTGAGTCGTTTTTAGCATCATTATAAAAAGGGAAAAGGGACCGGAAAGAGGCTGAGAAACACGAAGAAAAGATGCCTGCATTTTCGTGCAAATCAAATCTGGAGATGAAACAATTACATGTAATCGGCGAATCTTTTAAGATAAAAGATTAAGCCAGACACTGCAACTGTCATTGTCATTGTGCGAAATAGATTGATCAATTTTTTTTGTACATCATGAAAGTGTATATATTATACTTATTTTCTTTTCAAAGATAAAAGATGGAATGGAACCGTCCAAATTTCTTTTTCTATTTTTTTCCCAATTTTTCCATGATTTTACTTCTTGTTAGCGTCTGGGTAGCACTGAAAAGAGACGTGTGTCAAGCAATAATAAATAACAAGAAATCATATATCCCGTTTTATCATACAACATTATGTTATTTGTTTACGAGTGCGAATTGTGTCGTCCCGATTCCATTGTGACAAATCAGAAACGCCCGCCCGCCGATTATGCATTAGCCAGCGGTTTGACGGACGCCGACATGAAATTCTCTGTTTATCAGAGGCCTAACAGTTCCCACACAGTCATTTGAAGAATCTTCTGTGTGGGTTTAACCCTGAAGTTGAACTTTTATAATGATTTGTATTATTCTGTTTTGTTATTGGAGTTTCTTTAAACTAAACCTCAAATTTCGCTCACCGTGGGTGATTAATAAATGAGAAGTTGGAACTCTTAGCACGAATCCTTGATCACTCTGCATGAGAGTAATAAAACAGTTGAGAGCGTAATTTGGTGTCAGATTACGCGGGAAGTAGAGAATAAATCTGAAAACAACGCACTTCAGTTTTAATCAAAACATTTTTCGACGCCCTTCCGACGAAAAGTGACATTAAAATATTTTACATAGTTCGTTCATGTGTTGTTTGACGCGGATTCGCATTGATTTTTTTCGTTTTTGCGATCCTTTATCAATTATACAGTACCCTTATATAAACATTACCGCGGAGGTAAGTAGTTATTTTCCCAAATATTAAACCGTAATGGTTTTATACATCAGAAAAACATGATAAAAGATGATATTAGTACGTTTAGGAAATTATCAGCCTGAGTAATGTTTGTTTTGCACTTAATTCCAAAAACAGACTATTAACTGAGTTAAAAGCTGTCCTGCGGGTCAATTTAGGTACAAAGTGCTTCGAATTTTACCAAAAGGTTTAATTATGTTATGGATGAAGCAATTCTTACGAACAATCACCTAAAGAAATTGTTCTTCTAAAATGAATGATTTTGATTGGTTCGCATTTGGCGGTCATGCTGATTTCAACCACTCAGAAGTGACAAGTGATACCACCCACGTGATCAAAGTGTCATCGAAGGAATGTAATTGATAATGCAGCCATAATTTTACGGTACACAAGCCTGAATTGGTGATGCGCAAAAAATATGCAAAAGCTGAAGCGTTAATTGGAGTGAGAAGTAATACGACTCTTTCATCGAGCGTGTTTATGATTTTAAGAACGATATGTTAGTTTTGGAGGTTGTTGTCATTTCTGGGTAGTCGGTAACAAGACGTTTAGAGCTAATAGCAATGTTGCTCTGTAAACTTTCGTGGTTGTCTGGTGTAGTCATAATCTTTATAGGTCAGTTCCACCACTACTGGTCAAGTTCTTCGAACTTGTTTAAGTTTGCAAATATTTTTGTCTTGCACAGATTTCTTGAGCCCTCTGTGAGTTTGATCCTAACTGTTTCATTATTCTGTTTGATCTGTAGGTGTCTCGGTTAGGGCACAGAAGCTAACCGCAGTGAGAGATAAAGTTAGCGTAAATGTTCGGCAAGATGTCTCTTTCAACTGGACTTTGGAAATAAAACCTGGAGAGAAACTTTTAATAGTATGTGGAACAAGCACAAGCGGTTTGGAAGGCTCGACCCCTAGATTGAAAGACGTACTTTTTGCGAAACGCAAATTTCAGGACAAACCTCAGCCATCAGATGAGATGCCTTCCAAATTTTCCGGCAGAGTTCACATGATTTGGCAGAGCCAAACTATTTCGCTCTCGATCAAGCGGGTTGATCTATCAGATGAGGGCTTTTACATGTGCGAAGTCAGTACGTTATTTGTCACCGCCAGAGAAAAAATATCCTTGGAAGTGATAGGTAAGTGTGATGTTTTTGTGTTTTTTTTTTTGTACTCTCTCCGTGTTCGGCTTAGCTTTTAGCCGCGCGGTTGATTAGAATACAGTTCAAACAGGCGATGAGACCCGTTCAACAATGACAGCGAGATGTAAGTATTATAAAAGCGCTTAATTATGTGCTCTTCGGAGCACTTTTGTAGCTTTTAGTAAACATTAACAATCGTGCATAAAGTAATGGATGCGTTTATTGCGCTCTATGGACTCGATGCTCAAATGAAGTAACCGAGAAGGAAACCAGATTTGTAAGATCCCTGATATTTGGTGGTGCGGTCATTTAGTTATGAAACAGACAGCTTACCAAGATCACATAGAGATAAAATTACTGATCAAGCAGAAAATCTGTTACGCGAGAGAAAGCGAAGGAGAAAAACAACGAGATAACAAATTGTCTTGAAACCACCGTTTTTACATGAGAATCTTTTTCAGCAGTTTCATTAATGATCCTAAGGAAATGCCGATTGAGAACAAATCACAGTTGTAAATTGCTATGCTTCCTGAGTTATTTACCCGGCCAGTTGTCTTGTCAACAGTACACTTCTTAGCTTCTGATCGCCACAAAATCTCTATGTTTGGGTTAAACCAGCTTAAATTGCTTGAGAGGTTTGTTTGAAAATATTTTCAGAGTAATAATCGGTATTTCGGACTTCGGTGAACCAGAGATGTAACACAATTTTATCTTCGACTACGATTTTGTACACTTTGTGATATTATCGATAGGGATAGCAATAAAGCTGTCCTTTCTACTCCCTCTGTTTACGGAGGTATCAGATTGTTTAGATTTGAATGAAGCTGCGTTAAGGGAATGTAAATAAGGCTTCTCGCAAAGGAAGTTGTCCGTGATCTGCCTCAAATTTTAATTTTCGTCCATTCTATTATTGCACTGTTAGATTTGGTTTCATATAATCGCGAATAACAGTTATTACATTGATTTAGTCACCCGCGTCACTTGCAAGGTCACTATAATTTTCAATATTTCTTTACTGTTTGCTTTTCTTTCTACATTCAAACTTTTTCCGTTTGTACTTTGAATATTTGGCCGCATTTTAATGCCGTGCTCGGAGAAACAAATTTTGGAACAAAATGATCAAACGTTCGAAATGGAAATGTCAACAAACCATTTACGATCGAATGAATAACCTAATGCGAATGCTAAAGACCTATGGAATAAGTCTGAAATCAGGGAGAACGCATTCAAGATAAATTGGTAATGGTAAGTTTAGAAGTCAATCCCGAAGAACATTTTGTTGTAATGGTGTGATTGGTATTTTTGAGAAAGGGATAATGCATTAGCTTAGCTGGAAATTAATTTGTTCGTGACTTCTTCTATCGCAGATCGTCCTCGCAAGAAGCCACCCTGTAGGTCAAAAACCGCATATTGAGTGAAACAAAGCCCTTACTACGCTATCCGTTTATTTAGAATTTTTTAAGTGTCCTTGCTGCTCTTCTTTCGCATTTCATTGTCGCCGAATTGTAAACTGGACTTAAAAAATCGAGAACGGAGTTTAGCAGACCGTACAGGGCTTTGTTTTGACTCCGAGCGGACATTATTGAAGTCCTGTTGATGAATAGGCAACTACTGTTTTTTTCACAGAATTCATTACATATAATTTTTTAAGAGACCAGCTGCTCCAAGTAATTAAAAATCCTTTCTTTTGCCAACTCCTGAGAGGTCTTTTTTTGGCACAACCTTCAAATGATTTGCGATTAGTAAATAATTTATTCCGTAAGGGTGTCAATGTCAATGAAACAGCGTGGGGAACTTTGTTTTTTTCTTAGCAAACACTGTGTTTCGCTCCCGTGTAAGTTGCCTATTTTTATATTTAATTGTTATCTCCCAATATTAAATTCAGATTTAGCTGTGGTGAAATATTTTGGAAAGTTTGGTTCGTATTGTGCGTAATGTTTTTATTCAAATACTTCCTTGTGGGTAATCATTGATGGAATTTTCAATTTAGAACGACACTTGATATATGACTGTGAAAAATCGCTTTTAGATGCAAATGCGAAAAAACATACAAAAATCAGTCATATTCAAAATTAGAATGTCAAGATAATATGAACATTTAAGTAATTTAAAATCTGCTGATTCTTAAATTCATCTTTTTTTATGAATAAAATTTGTCTTACATAAATTTGTCTTGGAAAAGAAAAAATTGAAAGGAGAAATCTTTTGACCGGGATGTTAAGAGGTTGAAAGAATATTAATATTGTGACCATAACTGATGTGTTCTAATATCTGTGACATTTGATTTGTGTTTGGATATGGGTGTTCCAAACATTTAACTGGAAGTTGGGTGTTGGATTCATGTATTAATAATTTGTAAGGGTTTTTTTTTTGCATTCAGGCATAAAGTTGAAATGGCAGGAAGGTACAGAGTAGCTTACAAGTGAGATGAGTTTGAAAATAGTTGCTGTTGATCATTTAGCCTTGTTATTGCTGGCTGTCTAAACACTTATAGTAGTCTTCCTTATATTTTTGGGGTCTTTTAACCCTGAAACTCCTATAAGTGATCAAGACAAAATTTCTCCTTAGATATGAAGACGATATCAAGCAGGCAAGGACTGAGAATAAATGAAAATGTCAGTTAGGGGATTATTTATTGATCCAATGCCAAATTCTTCAAACTAACATCGGAAGAATTTTATGACTAACAGTAAGGAGAAGTGATCAGGAGATCTGTTAGTGAAAAGGCTAAACCCTTGCTGTAATGTCATCCAGTAAAGTTCAACAATATTTCATCCTTAGGTTTTTATTTTTTCACACTTTTAAACTTAACTCCTCTGGCTGATTAAAAAATTGATGGTTTTCTTTTTAGAATCTAAAATCTAGCAAACATAATAAGGAGAGGCAAAGATAGCTGAACTACTGGGTGTAATCTTGATGTAATCCCAAATTCTCACAACCTATTTTTAAGTTAAATGTGTCGCACCTTAGAGAGAATTACATGTAGCATCTGAGTAGTTACAAGATTGATACACATGTTTTTGTGTCTTTTGTATATATAGTGTAGAAAGTTTGGTGAGATATCGTTTTTCTTACTAGAAAATGTTGGTTTTGGTACACTCTTGTTAATGCTGTTTTTTTTTTTGGTTTTGTTTTTCTTTTAACTAACGCAGTCAAGTTAGATGCAATTGAAGCTTTTAATTCTTTAAATCCTATGAGTGACCAAGACAGGATTTCTCCCTACAATTTTAATGCAATACCAGGCAGACAAGTCACAAGAATAAAGAAAAATATCAGTTCGGGTATTAATTATCAGTTGATCCAATACCAAATTCTCCAAACCAAGATTGTAAGAATTTTATGGCAGACAGTAAGGAGAATTACTGGTTGGATCGAGATCTTGGGAGTGAAAGGTGTATGAGAAAAACCTTTTAATCCTCTGCTGGAAATGAAACTTCAAGTGTACCACAGTTTTCTTAGTTAGATTTGAAGAAGGCATTTGCCAAATATGATGCAGGCTGCTGTGATAAATAGACAAATTGAATGGCTTAAGAACAAAACTTTGCAATCCTCTGCTGGAAATGAATTTCTTTTTGTGTACAAAGGGTTTCTCAGTAGGATTTGTAGTGGGCGTCTGCTTAATTTGAAGCACGCTGCTGTGACGAGGAAAATATGAAAGTCAGGCACGTAGACTGTAAAAAGTAAGCTGCCGTAGATCTTAAAGTTGTTTGCTTTCTTTGACACCATTTATTTGACTTTACAAAATACTTTCAAGTCCTATTCACAATTTTTTTACCAGGAGTGGTTATGTTAGGTTACTTAAAAAAATGGAAGATTTAGAACACTTAATTTATGTATGGTGTTGCACAATTTTTTCAACTTATGCAAATTTCCTGCAATCTAAGATCTAGCGATAGAGATGTTTGGCTACTTGATTGGGGGTTAACCTGAGTAAAGATAGGGCAGAATAACAGAAAACGATTCATTCAAATACTATTTTGAATATTTTGGTATCAGTAAATTCAAAGAACTTACAAGCTTAAGGACCAAAGCTTTGTAGACAAACTGGTAAATCATTGTCGCAATGACTTTTACACTCATTAAAAAATTTGACGGGAGTATAATTGATCAAGCGAACAGTGTTTGTGGTCGATGCTATCTTAAAAAAATTTTGAAAATGTCGGGGCAGGCTTCACTTCACAAAGACAATTGCCCACACAATGTTCATTATAGCATGACTGCTCAAGGGCTCCTTTCTAATTAGTATGCAATTACTGTTGTGATTATAGTAATTAAGGCATGTCTGTGTCTAGTAGAGGGAAATATGATGGTCATTATATTCAGCAAGTTTTCATGCTGTGACAGCATGGATTGAATTATTGAGGGTGGTACACAGACCCAATAATTTCTTGATGAGAAGCCCTTGAAAATTAATTGTGTTGGTGATGCAAGGAGCAGTTTTACTGATTGACTTTCTCATGATCACAGCTTTGTTGCCTGCATTTATTTATTAGCATTTAAATGTAAATCAGTCTTTTTTCAGTTAGTTGTCTCAATTGTTAATTAAAAACAAAAATTAAAAACAGGATATAGAGTTGGCACTCACTCACCTTTTTGGCAGACAGTACGGAGAGTTACTGGTTGGATCGAGATCTTGGGAGTGAAAGGTGTATGAGAAAAATCTTTTAATCCTCTGCTGGAAATGAAACTTCAAGTGCACCACAGTGTTCTTAGTTAGATTTGAAGAAGGCATTTGCCAAATATGATGCAGGCTGCTGTGATAAATAGACAAATTGAATGGCTTAAGAACAAAACTTTGCAATCCTCTGCTGGAAATGAATTTCTTTTTGTGTAAAAAGGGTTCTCAGGAGGATTTGTAGTGGGTGTCTGTATAATTTGAAGCAGGCTGCTTTGACAAGGAAAATATGAAAGTCAGGCACGTAGACTGTAAAAAGTAAGCTGCCGTAGATCTTAAAGTTGTTTGCTTTCTTTGACACCATTTATTTGACTTTACAAAATACTTTCAAGTCCTTTCAAGTACTTTCAAGTCAGACCCAATAATTTCTCTATGAGAAGCCCTTGAAAATTAATTGTGTTGGTGATGCAAGGAGCAGTTTTACTGATTGACTTTCTCATGATTACAGCTCTGTTGCCTGCATATATTTATTAGCATTTAAATGTAAATCAGTCTTTTTTCAGTTAGTTGTCTCAATTGTTAATTAAAAACAAAAATTAAAAACAGGATATAGAGTTGGCACTCACTTTTGTTTAAAATCACTTTCAATTCAGGATGTTGGTTGCAGCTGGAAATTAAACCTTCTTTAAATTAAAACATGTTAGATGGCATAGGGTGACCCTGATGTTTTAAAGAATTGGGTGAAAAATTAAAAATGTTGATTCATAATTTAGTAGTGTAAACTTACAGGGTTAATGTGACCCCACATATTCATAAAATAAGTTTAAGATGTTTTTGTGGGTATCTATCTCTTACTAACTGAGTTGGAGTTCTGTACTGTAAGTTGCAAACCAAATTGTTTTCTGCTCAGATTTATGGCCAAGTGCCAAGTGCACAGGGCAAAAATTAAGGTGGACTTAACAGGGTTCTGTAATTTACAGTATTGTCCACGAAAACAAGTTTAGTAAGATATTTATTATATCTAGCTTCAAGACTTTTTTTTTCATTACAAAACAAATCAAATCATGGTAATGAAATAACCAATTCTTTGAGATTTCTTTCAACTGAAAAAGGAGAAAGGAAAGAAATTAATAAATGTTTTGCCAAAACAGGTCAGTTTAAGTATCATTCTCAGTGCTGTCAGACTTTTGGTCTCCATAAGATCAAAATCAGTTTCCATGTAGAAAGCTTTTGACCTTGCTTATTGTTTCAGTTTGTTTGAGGGGCGTCACATCTGCACCTAGAGCATGGCCTACAAAATGGGTGGCAAAAGTGTTTGCATTTAATACTAGCTTTTGAATTTCTTCTTCAACTTTTATTTATTTCTTCTTCTCCCCCATTTCAATTTTGCCTGCATGGTGTTGACAAAATGGTCACTAATCTCTTGCGATGTTATTTAGGGAGAAAGAGGAGACTTTCGAGCACTAAGTTATTAAAGATGAACTACAAGATCTCTTAATTTTTGTTATGTTGAGGGAAGGGTTGTCAGCATCCTTTTAAGGGGAGGTGGGCTAATTAATTTTTATATACTACTTAATAAAAAAAACTACTACAACAAGATATGTGGGGTTTACTTGCAAATTAAAGGCTGCACTATGCATTGCCAAATCAAACACTTGTAACCTACTCAAAATTTTATTTATTCCACTATCAATAAGCAGTACTTATTTTTATGGGTAGCAAAGAAATGAATTTTATTGGAAAACAATTTATTGTGTGATCAAATTCAGGTAAGAGAAAAGGTGTATTGGCCTTTTTTTGGTAATCCAATTGCACAAGTAGATCACAATTTTTCCTGTCTGAATGGAAAATCAATTTGCCTGTTGTAGAAGTTTGAATGGCTAAAGTTTCCTGCCCTGACAAGATAAAGCAGAAATACTAGCATCTTCTCATGATGGAAGCATAAATTTGTAACTGACCCCACTTGAAAAAATTTCAGCTATGTGCTTTCAGTGATGGTACACAGAAGTTTCTTCACAGTATTTCTTTATTTGCTTCTTTGTACAACCTTGGATATTCCTTACTGAATTGTTTTCTTTTATAGATCCTCCACGGATTACAACAGTTCTTCCAAAGGAAATTAACATGAGTGAAGGCCAAAATTTACAACTTACTTGTGAGGCCAATGGGCGACCAAAACCAAGGGTCTCATGGAAGAGAGGAGAAACAGTTTTCAATAGGACACGGCAGATTTCCTCTCTGAATTTTTCACCCTTAACTTACAAAGATCATGGGGAATACAGATGTGTTGCTGAAAATGCTGGTGGAAGGGAAGAAAAAAAAGTCAAAATCAATGTCCAGTGTAAGTGTAGTGTTATGTGATTAATTAACTTTAAATGTCATCATCTCTCATGCTAGAGGTCATTTCCTCAAATTAGCATCTGGGCTCTGATAGGGGCCCTCTACCAAATAAGCACCCACCCATGAAGGCCATAATGTCAAACATGTAACTATCCCAAGGTGCAATCCTCCATTGTTTCCTTACTTTCTTAAATACTAGGGATGCAAGGAAAAGCTCTTTCTATAACCACTTTCTTCAAAACTTTTTAAGCTTTAATAACTACAACAGAATCAGTACAGGAAAATGATAAGCAGCCCCCTCAATTAAGCACTATCCTTAAATAGGTACTTCTTCTTTTATTGTTTTTTTTGTGCAGCTTTGCGGCACATTTTGTAGGCCAAAAATCAAGATTTTGGTGAGCTAAAATATATTTTTCTCCTATATTCTATGTCTCTCCAAATTTACAGTGTTGATAATGGTACAATACAATTTTTGTTCTTGGGCATCAGTATGTTTTGGGGCCCTTCTCAGAGTCATTTTAAACCTTGCCTGGCAGCTTGGGCTAAAATGACTCTAAGTCAGGCCCAAAGTATATTGCCTGTGATCATAAACCCTATTGTTTTTAATTATTGATTTCAGATTTTTTAAAAATGTTGCTTGTTGTTAAATTTCAGATTCACCCAAGGAAACCAACATTACCACAGATGCTTATCAGGACACAGTTAGTGATGGTAGTCGCATTTCAATCACTTGTGAAGCATATGGGAATCCTAAACCACTTTACCAATTTTTTATTGAAGATAAGCCTTTAACAGATAGAAAGGCAGAGATATCAGGTGTACTAAGTGTGACAGCCATTACCTTCAGGCAAAGTGGAATCTACAGCTGTGTACCAGAAAACGAAAAAGGCAAAGGTCCCAAAAAGGAGGTCACCATATACGTCCGACGTAAGTTGAGTTACTGGGAATTAAAACATCTCTGACATAGTTGTTTGTGTTTGAACAAGAGGCCTGATCACTTTGGACCAGTGACTCTTTCACAGATTGATGATTTTGCATTAACTTTTATTTTTTAAAACTTGTATCAGGTTGCGTGGCAATGCTTTGAAGAGGAAAGCAACTAATGGGCAGTGCTGGGTGCTTGGGGGGAGGGGGAGGGGGAGAGACTATGGCAATGAACTGGCATCCTGTTTAGGAAGGAGCAGTAATACTCCTCTTATGTGGCTGAAAAGTAAATAAGCACTTGCAGAATCACAAGTTGACCGTAAACTCACACTACCTTTATCTTGGTTACTTTGGTTACCTAACTGCACCTGTGATTAACTCACATTTTAGAGGACCAGACTGCTGTGTGGGAGGTCCAGGGTTCAAGCCCTGGATCGGACCAACATTCAGGGTCTTAAAATAACTGAGGAAAATGTGTTGCCTCAGCCATGACATACGCAGATGCCGAGACATTCCAGCCTTCTCAGATAAAGACAATAAACTTTAGGCCCGGTCTCTTGCACCTTCTCTGGTTGGCGGGGGATATTAAAGGACCCACAAACCTTTCACAAATAGTAAGAAAGATATCTCTTAGTGTTGTGGTTTGACCTGGTTTTTGTGTATACAGGTCCCCATTCATACCAGATTTGAGCTGAACTAGGCTAGCCTGTCTAAATATCACAAATGCATACATACAGTATATGCCATTAGCAGTGCTACACAAACACATGTTATGTCATGTGAATTAAAGAACTCTTCAGTCATTGGATCCCTCACATCCCTCACATTGCATATCATTTGTGTGCCACGGAAAGAAATGCAACAGCAGCTTTTGATTACTGACAACCCAACAAAACACCTACAATTAGAACATTTTGGAGACTAAGTGCGGGTAGGAAAGCTGTAATGGCTTCTTATAGCAGGAAATTAAAAACTGGGTGACATGATTGAGTACAATACCTGGTACCTCAACTCTAACCCAGACCCCCACTTGGTTTGTGAGAAACCTCTTTCTTTTCTTACTTCTAAGCTCACCTTACAAGACAAAATGGTTCTGAATTTTTTCTTCAGACAAACCGGAGATCACTCGTCAACCAGCCAACGTGGCTGTAGATGAAGATTCCCCTGTGTCAGGGTTTTGTGATGCCAAAGGTTACCCACCTCCAGAAATAACATGGGAGAAAGTACGAGGCAATAAACTGGTTGCCAGAGGGAAGAATTTGTTTATTCCAAACGCTCGGCGATCTGATAAGGGACGGTACAGATGTGTGGCTTCTAATGGCTTTGGATATGCAAGTGCAGAGTTTAGGATTGATGTTTACTGTGAGTGAATACTTTAATTATGATATAACATATGCAAAGCAGGGGCTTAAATATATTTTTCTCAGGCTCTGGAAGAAGGGCTGTAACACAGAACCCAACCACAAGACCCTACTGCAGGCTAAAGAGATGGCAGTAAGTGGTCTTAACAGGGCATTGGCAGAACACTGGTAACTAGTGTTTTTTGAAACAACTGTACATAGAAGATATACTTATTATGTGTGTCATGTGGATGTTAATTTTATGTTCAAGTGTTGATAATTTTTCTCAGAGTGAGGAAAGCAAGCAAGTAAGAGATATTATCCCCTCAAAATAGAAATCAAAATGCTTTCTCCTCTCAGGCCCTCCTTTTCAGTCAAAAAGTATGTATAATGTATTGTGGTATTAAAGTAAATGGCTAGCTGTGTTCTACAAATAGTCCATTTTACAGTTGTGTGCTTGGTTGCCAAGCCTTTGAACAGGAGTGAGGCTATTAGGTTGACCTTGTTATGATACAAACCTTATTTCTTCTCAAATGCAAATTACTTTGTTATCATGCTAACTAGATACTGGTCTCTATCACAACAAGGTCACCTTCAGCCTCACTCCAAATCAAAGGCTTGGCAACAAGGTACATGCACAACTGTAAAATGGCCTATTGAGGAAAAATGGGATCTTTATAACCAGTATGGCAATGTGAGTGGAATCATAAGCTTGACAACTTTAAACTCGCTTGTGCCTATCTTCTCCAGCTCTGACCATGTCTTGCTTTGGTGGTAACCAAAATACAATGTATTTGCCTCAGAAAGAGTTGTTTTATGGTTATTTTAAGAAAAATGATCTTTTAAATTGACCATATTTGATTTACTTTTTTTTGTCTTTCCCCAACAAGACAAGCCTGTTATTAATAGGACTGCATCAAGTCAAGACGTTCCAGTGTGGGCAGGGAATACGGCAAATTTGTCATGTGTTGCTGACGGCAACCCAGCTCCTCGATACATCTGGACTAACTCAACTGGTCATGTAGCAACCTCAGAGGAGAGTGGAGTACTGCAGGTAACTCCACAGGATTCCGATGGTTTTGGGCCGTACACATGTACAGTGGAGAACAGTAAAGGAAAGGATTCCTATGATATACGTCTGGTGAAAGTTGGTATGTTAAATTTAAATGCAGGGGTTTCAAAAACCTTTTTTTTCATTAGTAGCTGCTGATGGTGTAATAGGCGGCTGTGACTAGAAAAGGTGCCATGAATCTCAAACAAGAGAGCTTGCTTGCAGCTAGACTAAACAGACAACTGTTAGAGGTGTTAATTTATAGATGGCTGTCAGACAGCCTGTAACTGGCTACTCCTCCTAGATGCCATGCTAGTTCTTGAAAACCAACTCAGGAATTTTGATAGAGGACAAATTTCTGTCCTCCATTTGTCCAAATACATTTTAGGGCCCAGTTGTCCATAGAGTGATAATGCTATCCAATGAATAAATCACTATCCATTAAATAAGTTTCAGAAAAATGCTCTGTGCTGTGTTCTGTGCTGAATCTCTATCCACGTGATGGAGGATTTATCCATTCATCCATTTATTAAATGGGAGCCAAGAGCAAAAAACTCTTTCACCTACTGTAGGTATTAAGGAATTGAACAGAACAGTCTTTCAAAGACACATAGAAATAATTTATTTGTCAATTAGGATTTTTGAAATGACTTCTTTGTCTCTGTGATTTGACATGTATTTGCTTTTAAAATTCAGAATTCTGCTACATTTAGGTGATCATATTTGCATCCAGCACTTGGTCCTCCTGTTCAACTCATCTTTGTTTTTTAGTTGCCATTCCATCATAAATGTTTTACCTTAATTGAAGATTGAGGTTTGGAGAGAATCTATCTTAATAACTCTTTACCATTCTTTTGCATCTGTCTTTAGATAAACCAATTGTCAAACTTAACCTTGAAGCACGGTCCACAACCTCTCTCTCCTTCACTTGGTCATTACTGTCAGATAGCATGAGCAATTTACATCTGCAGTACTACACTTTACGGTACCGTATGGATCAGGACAGCACCTGGTTGACAGAAAGAATTTCTCCACAAGACAATTCTTATGTGCTTACTGATTTACAGCCATATACTTTGTATACTGTACAATTGCTTGCAACAAATTTGCACTTTACTAGTGACCCATCGCGTGTCACAGCAATGACTGGTGCAGCAGGTAAGATTGAGACTCTGTATTCTGTAAAAGACATACTGGTAGTTTGTTGGTATTGCTTGTATGTAGAAGCAATGAATGATGCAGAATTCAGTTGAGAGTTGTAAAACCAAAACCTAGGAAAGTACAATAGCAATCTGATTAGGAATTCATTCCCAAACCCATCTGGTTAATTGTGAAGAACAACTCCCGGAAAAAACCTGTCAACTGACTAATGGCCAACTGTTGACTGACATAGATGGATGACAGGTGGTCATTACTGCAGAGATAACTCTCATATTAATTTATTAATACATGAGTTGATGAAATAGTCAGTCTAGGGGAGCTTTTCTTCATAATAACCCCCATCTGACACAACTCTCAAAAGAATTATCATTCACACACTTTAGACTTGGGTCATTTATCAAAAGAGAATTACATGTAAGAACCTTGGTCAGCTTCTTTTAATTTGTAATTGACCTTATAAGAATTTATTCTGTTATCTAGCACCTGGACCTCCTGAGAATGTCAGGGCATATGCAGTCAACAGGACGTCTATTCGTGTGGAGTGGGACCCCCCAAAGAAACCCAATGGACCAATAAAAACATACTCTGTCTTTATCCCAGACAGTGTGCACTTGGTGTCTGTTAAGGAAAATGTTACTGAGGTTGTCATTGGACGTCTGGAGCCATACACCAACTACACTGTGAAAGTGAGGGTGCAAAACAGTGTAGGTACAAAGGAGAGCTCTGCTGTGATTGTTCAAACAAAACAATCAGGTTAGTTCTTACATCTGCTTTGCGCCAGGGATCTAATGAATCAAGGTGAATCCTTGGTATGTCCAGAAGTGCTTGCAGTAACTAAAAAGGCAAAAATTTGTCAAAGTTGCCAAATCTGCTGAGCTGATTTTGTTTTGACCAATTTGACTAAAATTTGTGACTAAAATTCGTCAAAATCATCTTTCTGCCAAACTGATTTCACTTTGAAAAGTTTGACTAAAATGCACAGAAATCACTGAACCATGAATATTCAATTGGTTTGACAAAATTTTGTCAAATCTGCCATTTTCATTGCTGCATGCTTTTCTAGACATAAGTGGAATTGTTGTAATCTGCTCCTGAATATTTGAACAACTGTTGGAATAATGTCAACTCAGCTGGCACTATATATGTCAGTTTTGTTATGGTTTTCCATTGGATTGTGCCTGCAGAGCCTTACTGTCATATGATAAAACTTCTAAAATGATATTTACTATATACTAACTATATACTTTAGACTATATAGAGAGACCAATCATGACCTAATTGCACCACCTGACCAATCAGCTTATACAAACAGGACTTAAAACATTTGACTGACAACAACTATTACCTTGACTTAGATGATGACTTCCTCGCAGATTATCGAAACAAAAGTCACCACCTGCCACAACAGTCTGTCTCTGGACAATCAGACTACATTATCATATACAGACTAGGTAAACATTTGCCTTTTTTTTTTTATCAGCCCCGAGTAAACCAGGTAAACTTGAGGCAAACATGACAGGACCTTACAGTGTGCGTCTAAAATGGACAAAACCAAAAAGACCAAATGGCATAATAGTGATATTCAAAGTAAGAATGTTCTGGAGGTTCAAGAACAGAAAAGGAGGGTACAAATACGATACTTACATTATTCCTGCAAAAGTTACAAACAAGAGGAGGAAAAGGAAACTTGCCCGTGAAACGTCAGACAATATTGTATGGAGGCTAGATCCCTTCAGAGACATAGAGCTAAAAAAGATACAGCCTTTTGCTATCATATCAGTGCGTGTATCTGAGGCAACTAGAGATGATGACAAGGAACCAATGTGGAGTCCATTTTCCAGTAACCAGACCATAGAGACTAAGGAGGGAGGTAAGAGGACCTAACAATATCGTTTTATTTGAGAGAAATTGGACGCTGTTACTCGTTTTGGTGGGCAACTGTAAACAGAGATTTCAAAATAAGCTTATGACCACTAGAATTCCATTGGCTACATGATAACATGTCTCCAGTTACTCTTGTTAAAATAATTATCTCTTGGCCCTTAGTGAAATTTTCACAGTCACTCACTTTGGCAGAGTCTGACGCCTGCCTCAAAGCATTTTGAAACCCCTGTTTAAGGAATAGTGGGGGGGGGGGGGGGG